AAGAACCACATGATCCTATCTATTGATGCATAAGTCTTTTGACAAAATCCAAAATTCCTGATTAAAATACAAGACAAAAAAGGAATAGAAGGGAATTTCCTCAACACAGTGTAAAGTACATATGCACAGCCAAAAACCAACATCATTCTCAATGAAGAAAGACTACAGGCAATTCCCCTCGTGAACAAGAACCAAGCAAGGCTGTCCACTATCACCAATCCTATATAACATTGTATTAGATGTTGGCTAGGACCAAAAGACAAGAAAAAGAAATAAGAGACATCTAAATTGGCAAGGAGATGGTAAAACTGGAGCTATCTGCAGACAATATGATAATGTACACACAGAACCCCTAAGACTAAACAACAACAAAAACTGTTAGACCTAGTAGACCAATTTAGTAGAATGGCAGGATACAAAATTAATATTCAAAAATCAACTGGATTTCTCTACAGCAATACAGAAAACATTGAACAGAAGATTAGGAAAGTAATGCAATTTATAATAGCCAACAACAGGATTAAATACTTGGGAATAAATCTAACCAGAGATTCTAAAGACTTTTATAAGGAAAACTACAAAACACCACTATATCAAAAAATAGTAAGAGACCTAACTAAATGGAAAAATGTCCTCTGTTCATAGACAAGAAGACAGAACATTGTGAAAATGACAGTCCTACCAAAAGCAATCTACATGTTTAATACAATCCCAATATAGACACAAAACATATTTTTCAAAGAGATAGAAAAGACAATTGGCATATATATTTGGAAAGGAAAAAGATCTCAAATAAGTAAAGCTCTTCTGAAAAATACAAATAAAGTGGGAGGCATAACAATCCTGATCTCAAAACGTACTACAAAGCAATAGTACCCAAAACAGCACAGTACTTGGACGACAGACACACAGACCCAGAACAGAATAGAGAACCCAGAAATTAACCCATTTCCCTACAATAAAAAAATTTATTAAATGGGGAAATTACAACCTCTTCAACAATAGGTGCTGGTAGAAAAGGACTTATTTTATCTGACAAAAGCTAAAGCAAGATTCACATCTCAAATCATACACAAAAGTCAACTCATGGTGGATCAGAGACCTATGGGTATAGTCGTGAACCATAAAGATTATAAAGAGACAAAATAGGATCACACTTAGAAGCCCTGGGCTTGGTATCAATTGACTGGCAAACATAGCCAGAAATGAACAACTAGGAGAGAGTAACATTAATGAATGGGACCTTCAAAAGATTAAGTCCTTGTGTACATCAAAAACTTTTTCCAGTAGGATGAAAAGAAAACCTACAAACTGTGGGAAAATATTTGGCAATGACTTCTCAGACAAGGATCTCACAATAAAATTTATAGAACACTGAAAAAAAAAAACCCCTCCAGTTTACAGAATATGACAGGGCCTCCATAAGTAAAAGACTGATGATAACCCAATCACAAAATGTGCAAAAGATCTAGAAAGACTTTTCATGAAGCAAGACATTCAGATGGCCAGCAGACACATGAAAAAATGCTCAAAATAATTGTCAATAAAAGAGATGTAAACCAAGACCACAAAATCTCACCCTAGTAGCAGTAGCAAATAGGGCAGCAAGAAATAAACGTTGGAGAGGATGTTGAGATTTCGTACTCTCATACACTCCTGGTGGGATCATAAAATGGTACAACCATTCTGGAAGGCAGTTTGGAATGTTCTCAAAAAGTTGAACACAGAAATCCCATATGACCTGGCTAGGAATATGCTGTCGTTACATGCTGTCGAGTCACTTGCGATTCATAGCAACCCTATGTACAACAGCTCTAAACCTGCTCTGTCCTGTGCCAATCGCACTGTATCCAACACACCCATCTGGATTACCCCAGTCACTGAATCAATCTACCTCATAGAGGGTCTTCCCCTTCTGCGCTGTCCCTCCACCCTCACAAGCATGATGACCCTCTCCAAGGACTGGTCCCTCCTTCAAACATGTCCAAAGTATGTCAGACAAAGCCTCAGAATCCTTGCATCCAAGGAGCAGCCTGGTT